CTCCATATGACTGTAGAAATAGCCTTAGCTTCTAACACCTTAAGCATGTGTTCTCAATTATCAGTTAAGATTAGCAATTTCAGAGTTAAAAAAATTCTCCTTGAATACCAGTTGTTTATTTACTTATGCATTTTTCACCAAATTACGAGAAAGTATTAATAAAAATAAACGTATCACATCTATTTTTCCTATTAAAATCTTTTATTTTTGCCCCTTTGCTTTTAACAAGAGATAGTTACTCTCACCAGCAGGAAAACATACCTTCACAAGAGTAAGTCATAAGTATATATAAAGAATCACAAAATATAATTTCCCCCCAAAATGTTAAGAGAACGCAAGGAAATGAGATTCAACATCTCCTGAAATGAAGTCTCATGTTTCACTACCTACGCTACTCCTTTTAATCAACTCCACATTCTTCCACTTCAGGGCTCCCATGATCACAGGGATGTGATAGTACAAATACTCTTAACAAAAATCCTAAAGTTTCTGAAGAGACAGAAATTCTCAGGAAACTAACTAGGGGAAAAAAAGAATCCTCTGGTTGGGCAATAGCTAGTTTCCACAGTTGATTTAGAAACCTTCAGCTAAGCTTCTTGATTGGAAGCCAAATATTAAAATTTTCTTTTCCTGAAAACCAATTATATCATGTGAGTAAAATTATAACTTAATGAAAGATGAGAAGGAAAAGAGTTAGAGAAAACAAAAAAAACCAAAGTCTTCTTTCACGAATATTGAAGTGGGAGGGTTTAAGATTGCGTATCTCCTTAATTATTGTTCTTTATTATGCATACAGTTAAAAGTTATAAAAAATAAAACAAAACTGTCCATAGTTCTCTTTGTTAGTAAAAGAAGACTTCACTAATCTCATGATCTGAGATCGTTACCTGGATGGTCACCATTGCCATTTTTAGAATTTGTATGGCAAGTTTCCACGGTTTTCTACCTCGAGCCCAGAACTTCTCACAAGGATTCATGAAAAAAAATTTGAGTTTTCGCCTCATCTGGTCTTCTAATAGAAGCTCCTCGGAGGGAGATGTATGCTGGTTAAAAGTGCAGCGATTTTCTTCTTCATGAGAGCTGCAGCTACTTATAACAGCCTCAGGATTTGCCATCTCTAGGAGGAAAAAAAAAACAACCTGTAAATGAAGGCAACATCTATGTCCTTTGCTATTGCAGGATAATTGATGAAGTCCAGACAAAAGATCAGCTTTCAAATAAGCACCATCGTCCTAAACTGCACCTTTGAAGGTCAATGGCACAGGATAGAAAGCCCAGAAATAAACCTGATACACCTATGGTCAATTAGTCTATGACAAAGGAGGCAAGAATATACAATGGAGGAAAGACAGTCTCTTCAATAAGTGGTGCTGCAAAACGGACAGCTACATGTAAAAGAATGAAATTAGAACATTCTCTAACACCATACACAAAGACCTAAATGTAAGGCTGGAAACTACAGAATTCTTGGAGGAAAACATAAGCAGAACACTCTTTGACATAAATCGCAGCAACATCTTTTTCAATCTGTCTCCTAGAGTAATGGAAATAAAAACAAAAATAAACAAATGGGACCTAATTAAACTCAATAGCTTTTACACAGCAAAGGAAACCCTAAACAAGATGAAAAGACAACCCACAGAATGGGAGAAAATATTTGCAAACAATGTGACCGACAAGGGATTAGTCTCCAAAATTTACAAACAGCTCATGTGGCTCAATATTAAAAAAAAAAACAACTGAATCAAAAAATGGACAAAAGACCTAAATAGACATTTCTCCAAAGACATACAGATGGCCAAGAGGCACACAAAAAGATGCTCAACATTGCTAATTATTAGTGAAATGCAAATAAAAATTATAATGAGATATCACCTCACATCAGTCAGAATGGCCATCACTGAAAAATCTACAGACAATAAATGCTGGCTGTGGAGAAAAGAGAACCCTCCTACACTGCTGGTGGGAATGTAATTTGGTACGGCCATTATGGAGAACAGTATGGAGGTTCCTTAAAAAACTAAAAATAGAGCTACCATATGATCCAGCAATCCCACTCCTGGGTATATATCCTGAGAAAAACATGGTTAGAAAGGATACATGCACCCCAGTGTTCACTGTAGTGCTGTTTACAATAGCCAAGACATGGAGGCAACCTAAACATCCATTTACAGATGAATGGATTAAGAAGATATGGTACATATACACAATGGAATATTACTCGGTCATAAAAAAGAATGAAATAGTGTCATTTGCAGCAACATGGATGGACCTACAGATTATCATACTAAATGAAGTCAGACAAAGAAAGACAAATATCATATGGTATCAGTTATATGTGGAGTCTAAAAAAAATGATAAAATGAACTTATTTACAAAACAGAAACAGACTCACAGACATAGAAAACAAACTTAGGGTTACCAAAGGGGAAAGGTGGGAGAGAGAGAGAAACTAGGAGGTTGGGATTAACATATACACACTACAATATACAAAATAGATAATCAACAAGGACCTACTGTATAGCACAGGGAACTCTACTCAATATTCTGTAATAACGTATAGGGGAAAAGAATTTGAAAAAGAATAGATATAGGTATATGTATGACTGAATCTCTTTGCTGTGCACGTGGAACTAACACAACATTGTAAATCAACTATACTCCAATATAAAACAAAAATTGTTTTTAAATAAAAAATAAAAAGAGGGGGCTTCCCTGGTGGCACAGTGGTTGAGAATCTGCCTGCTAATGCAGGGGACACAGGTTCGAGCCCTGGTCTGGGGAGATCCCACATGCCGCGGAGCAACTAGGCCCGTGAGCCATAACTACTGAGCCTGCGCATCTGGAGCCTGTGCTTCGCAACAAGAGAGGCCACGATAGTGAGAGGCCCGCACACCATGATGAAGAGTGGCCGCCGCTTGCCACAACTAGAGAAAGCCCTCACACAGAAACAAAGACCCAACATAGCCAAAAATAAATAAATAAACAAATGTGGGGTTTTAAAAAATAAATAAAAAGAATGTGGTTACAATTACAAAAAAATAAACTGCACTTTTGATGCTTACAAAATCAATTAGAACATAGCACGTCATTTTTCTTTTTGTTTCAGTTACTGAGTGAATTTTTACCCAGTTGAAAACTACCAAATTCAAGGGCTGCTATCAATAAAAGACTATATGTACCTATATAGAGAATGTTATATGCTTTCTGCCTCATTGAGTAACAGGTATAGTTAGAGCAGGGTGTCCTGAAAGCACTGGTAAGGTGTCAGAGAGTAGGCTGGACTCAGAAATTATACACAAAATTTTGTAGATATATGGATATGGCCACTTTTCCTGGGGAGATACTTACCGTTTCATCAGATTATCAAAAAAAACTTTTTAAACCATTGAGTTAAAGGTAAAAGATGTGATGAAGAGCAGGGGTCCCCAAGCCCCAGGGACCTGGTAGGAAGCCGGGCCACACAGCAGGAGGTGAGCGGCGAGCAAGCAATGGAAGCTTCATCTGCTGCTCCCCATCGCTTACATTACAGCCTGAACCATCTCCCCCTCCCCCCACAGTCCATGGAAGAATTGTCTTCCACGAAACTGGTCCCTGGTGCCAAAAACGTTGGGGACCGCTGATGTAGAGAACCAGATCCTGTTTGGTTTCTAATCCTGGTTCTACAATGTGACACTTCTGTGACCTTAGGCAAGTCACTCAGCCTGTCTGAGCCTCAGTTTTCTCTTCTGAAAAATGGGAATAAGAATATCTACCCTCATGTGTTTCTAGTGAGAAAACGCAAATAAAACCCTTGCATAGAGTCTAACACTAAACAAGCAGCCTCAGTATCCCTACAGCCCCAGCAGACAGAGCAGCTTCCTAAAACAGCCAACAAGGTTCTTAAGAGACAGTGTGAGCTTCAGGGGACTTACAAAGGAGGTCTGAAAAGGAGAACTCAGAATCTCAATTTAAGTCCAAGTCCCGATCAGCAACATCACTTGTATTAGCTATTTATTGAAGGCCTTAGAGTTATGTAGCACATTTTACTTTTCAAAGCACTTCATACCTTTTTTTTTTAATCCCTTTGCAGAGGATGGGGTTGGTTTCATTGTCTTCATAGTCAGCTTATCCAAAGTGATAAAGAAGTTACTCCAGAAACTGGAAACTGTCTTGGATTTTCCCTCAGGCTAATATTGATATTATGGAAACTTGTTCAAAATAAAATACCCCAAACCACCATGCAGAGGAGAGTTCTTTTTTATAGAATAGAAAGGCTGGCTCTGTTTGATATTTTTACTATAACTTCTACTCAGAGATTGGGATGGGGTGGGGGGAGGATTCAAACTGTACTAATACAATATCTAACAAGTCACTGTTTAGGTGCTTTCCAAGTCTAGAATCCGACATCTGGTTCTGAAATCAAACATTCTTAGCAAACCCAACATCTCCAAACAATAGATATTGGCTATAAAAACTATCCATGGGGAAGGTTTTTAAATTCTTGAAGAATGAAAAGGTTAATAAGGATAGGGGACTTCCCTGGCAGTCCAGTGGTTAAGACTCCGTGCTTCCACTGCAGGGGGCTCGGGCTGATCCCAGGTGGGGGAACTAAGATCCCACATGTCTCGCAGACAAAAAAAAAAAAAAGAGAAGAAAAGAAAGAAAGAAGGATATTGCTGAGTCCACAGAGCATGAAACATATTTACAGTAGCATATGCAGTACCTTCAAAATGAAATAATTATGATAGAACTCATTAAAGTATGGCTGGTGTGGGTGTTAAAATGCCTGTCAAAGTCCGAGTACAATAACTCATAGATAAAGACATAGGGAGAGAAAAAAGTTAATCCCTTAGGATTTTCACTCAAGAACATTTTATTGCCTTCTTCAAAAAGGTATGTTTTTCACCAGCATTTAAGGAGACTTTACCTATGGGATTTATAAGGAAGATGATTCACGCGAGTTCATGGAAACTCGCATATGAACAGTAGCATAATAATGAAGCTCTTAATAATACAGCATGTTGGTGAACGACAGATTTGAGGTCACATTCAGCCCTTTGTATTTTGATACAGGTAAAATTAAACTGTAAACAAACTAGCCACACGCCGTCGTGTAACAGCAACCCACAGGAACAAAGAGAAAAAGAGCCAACCACAATTAACTTATTCAGCACATCGCACCAAGCTGTCCCTAACCGTAAGATGTTTCATTCACAAGGACTGACCGCTAAACTCGCTGCAAACCTTAGTTTACCGTCAGAGAAGCCCTTCTGAAGGTGCAATTTAAAAACTGAGACTGTCCAGACCCCTAACCGCTGACAGAGTGTCGCCCAACACTCCTGCACACCCACCCGGGGGGCAGCGCAGGATGCAGGGTCGGTGGAGACGCGGGTCAGGAAATTCTCTCCGCGATACTATATCTGGTCTTAGAATCTGCAAACACACCGAGGTTCCTTATTCACGGCGAGGAGGGGCTTAACTGGAATGAACTTCAGAAAACTAAAGAAAACCGAGGAATATGTGTAAAGAGTAAAAGCCTCACAGTTGACGACAGGGACGCGAGCTCCTTACACGACCCGAGCCCGGCTGGAAGCTGCTTTCGCCCAGCGCAGGGACGTCGGCTTTGGGCCCCAAGTCCATCCTCCCCCTACCCTCTAATAAAGGGACACTGAGTCAAGTCTGGCTTGCACAGTCTGGCTGTGCAAGCTGCAGAGTGTCTCCGAGCTTCCCCCCACCCCCGCCCCCGACCGCAGGCCGACGGCCGCCCCTTTCCCAGGCCTCCCAGGCGAGGCCCCGCCCACAGGTGGCTTCCCGGGGTTGGGGGGATGGTGGCGCGTCAGGGTCTCCCGGCGCCGCAGCTTGAGTACCGGCTACCCCGGACGGGGGGCGCCGCCACTGACCTTGGGCGGGCGGCCGAGGGGGCGCGGGGCCGAACCGCCGCAGCTCGCACCCCGCTCCCACCTGTGTCCCCTCCATGGCGCCGCCGTCCGGGGCCCGACCCTCCCGCCGTGTCTCACCGACGGCTTGAGACGTCGCGGGCTCTCCCTTCGCGCCGCGGGCGCCGTTCCCACGACACCTGATACCTCCGGGCTCTTCGGGGCTCGGTTCACCTGCGGCCGCGGCGCGCTGAGGGGGGAGCGGGGCGACGGCTAGTGAGCGTGGGGGCGGCCTTCTGTCCGCGGCCGGTGAGCAGCCCTAGAAGCCTCTGAGGCTCAGCTCAGCCCGGGACCCGACGTGAGCCCGGTGGCTGGGAGCCGCCGCCTTTGGCATCCTCCCTCCTGCGGCCGATTGAACCCGTGACCCTCCGCCGCAGCCCTCCTCTCCCTTCCACGCCCTTTCTGGAGCCGTCTTTCAGGACTTGAGGCGAAGGAGGCCGCCTGAAGGAGCCCGGCGGTGTCGCCGTTCTCTGGGCGCCTCTCCCTTCGCTCCCCTCCCTGTACCAGTAAGGCGACCCGCTCCACCCTCCTCGGGTTTCTCGGGCTGGCCAGGAGCTGCGGACCCGGGAGGTGCGAGTGCGTGGGTTCCCGGCTTCCACTCTCTGCTCGCGGGGGTAAAAGAGACAGACTGGAGGTAAAGTGCCTGGAAGCGGGTGAGCGCGCAGTCCTCTCCTTCAGCCTTCTATTCTAAGTTTTTTGTTTTTTAATTTTTATTTATTTATTATTATTTTTTTTTTGGCTGTGTTGGGTCTTCGTTGCTGCACGCGGGCTTTCTCTAGTTGCGGTGAGCGGGGGCTACTCTTTGTTGCGGTGCACGGGCTTCTCATTGTAGTGGCTTCTCTTGTTGCAGAGCACGGACTCTAGACACGCAGGCTTCAGTAGTTGTGGCGCACGGGCTTAATTGCTCCGCAGCATGTGGGGTCTTCCCAGACCAGGCATCGAACCCGTGTCCCCTGCATTGGTAGGCAGATTCTTATCCACTGTGCCACCAGGGAAGCCCTATTCTAAGTTTTGTATACAAAGAAATCAGGAAGGGTAAGATTTTTCAAGCATGAGCCTTGTACCCTCTCTAGGCCTTCCAGTTTGGGAGAATTGCTATGAAATTAGTGGACTGTTGACTAGACTCTTCTAGACTGGATCCCGGGTCTGAAAGAGCCCTGGGAAAGCTCTTAAAACAAATGTGACTGGAAACACTCGAAGTAAAGTTTCTTTGCTTGGCCAGACTTCGGTCAGGCTCCTGAAACCTTCTCTTAGGCTCACGTGTGCACTTTCTTGTAAAATCTGCTTTTAGCAAGAACCCTAAGTCAGTCTAACTAGAACCACTCCACGCCCCTCCCACCCCTCCAAGATGTGAACAGGTTCCTCATCCTTCACCACTCCCCAGGTGATGTCTGATCATCCTGGCCCTTTTTCAGCAAGAATCCTGCAAGGTCAGTGTAGCCAAAACTCCCCTTAGCCCTATTGTTTTCTTTGAGTAATTTTCCATCCATTGACCCCTACCCTGCAAATTCTCACTTGCCCATGCTATATTAGGGGTTGAGCCCCATCTCTCTCCTCCACTGTAAAATCCCATGGCAGCGGTCCTTACAACTATCTGAATGGACACTTTAATAAGTGTCATTGAATATTTATTTAAGAGTAGATCTCCAACCATAACCTTTTTTTCATAAAAATTTTTTTTAATTAAACTCATCAGGAATAGATCAGGAACTTTGATTACTTTTAATGACAACCAGTTTGGATTTGTTTTCATTGATTTCCTTCTTTCTTTCTTTTTTGGCCATGGGCAAGTTTGTAAAGGTCACTGAATTTCCATAACAGGCAATTTCTCAAATTATATCAAGAGCTTTTAGATATTTTACAAAACCTTGTCCAAATCCTAAGCCAGGATAATTGGTGTGGCTACTTTATAACTGGGAATATCTTTTCTTGCAATGGGGTACAAGAATTTTATGCTTTTATGGGGTACCTGAATTTTATTCAGGTTTATGTTCATAAACCTGAATTCCAAGTGCTGTGAACAAGGTAGTCAAAAGTGTATAATTGGCACATTCATACCTCAGGTGCAATTTGGAAAATGTAATTTAATCTCTTATGCCCATATGCCTCCACATGATTTAATACTATCTCCTTACCATAACAGTGATGGTGGGAGTTTGAAATGCTTGATTGTTCAGGAACAATCTGAACTTTAGAAAGGTTTGCAGGCATAAGTGATGGCCCTAGTTAGAGCTGAGTTAAGCAGACTGGTGAATAGAAAAAGCCAGGCGTCAGGCAGCTGGGGGCCCACATTCCCTTCTATGACACCTACTGCCTGACCTCAGGGAATTACTTAACCTCTCCACCTTCCCGTTTCCTTCCGGGTATAATTTGCCTAAAAAAAGGAATGATGAATTTTAATTAATTGGATGCATGTAAAGCCCCCATTACTATGCCTGGCATATTTTTGGAAAAATCTAAATTAATGAAAAAATCAACCGTGTTCATGGACTGCAAGACTCAGTATTATTAAGATGTCAGTTCTCACCAAGTTCATTTATAAATTCAACCCAGTCTCAATCAAAATTCCAGCAAGCGGGCTTCTCTGGTGGTGCAGTGGTTGAGAGTCCGCCTGCCGATGCAGGCGACAACGGGTTCGTGCCCCGGTCCGGGAAGATCCCACATGCCGCGGAGCGGCTGGGCCCGTGAGCCATGGCCGCTGAGCCTGCGCGTCCGGAGCCTGTGCTCCGCAACGGGAGAGGCCACAACAGTGAGAGGCCCGCGTACCGCAAAAAAAAAAAAAAAATTCCAGCAAGCTGCTTTATACATATTGACAAGCTAATTCTAAATTTCTATGGAAATGCAAAGAACCTAGAATAACCAAAGCAATTTTTAAAAATAAGGGCAGGAGACTTCCTTGGTGGCGCAGTGTTTAAGACTCCATGCTCCCAACGCAGGGGGCCTGGGTTCGATCCCTGGTCAGGGAACTAGATCCCACATACATGCCGCCAACTAAGGAGCCAACGAGCCACAACTAAGCGGCCAGCGAGCCGCCACTAAGGAACCTACTTGCTGCAACTAAGACCTGGCACAACCAAATAAATAAATTAATTAAATAAATAAATATAAAAATAAGGACAAAATTGGAGGACTTACCCTACCTGATTTCAAGACTTATTATAAAGCTCTTTAAGCATGACACCTTGGTGTTTATGAAAAGAGACATATAAAAATAAAATGGAATGGAACAGACTAGCGCATCCAGAAATAGATTCCTACATATATACAGTCAATTGATTTTTGACAAAGGTGCCAAAACAATATAAAGGGGAAAATTAAACCTTGACAATCAACATAGTGATATTATTGGCTCAAAGCAATATACTGACATCAAGTCAAAAGGAAGACAGGAAACGACATGCAGAGTCAAAAATTAAGGTCAACATTTCTGGAAGCATGAGAGGAACATATTAGAAACAGTTAATATCTAAGCAGTCTATCTTGCTTGTAACTTTTGTCATGTTATAAATTGTGTTATTGAGCACTTTTACAAATAACATAGTCATATGTTTAATATATACTTATATAATTAATTTTAGTATATATGTATATGATTAATAATTATATACATAGAATACGTTGTGCTAATCCTGTGGATGGTATTTCAAGAAATGACATTTTGCAAGCAAAATAGCTTCATAAATTGGTGATTTCAACATATTTCTATATAACACTGTTGATCTTGCTAGGCGATCCAAGCATTACATTGTTTGAATATTATCTAATCCTGTGTGCTGCATTTTCCAGATCACTGAAGTATATAGTTCTTTGTAAAACAGACCAAATATTTTCATTGTGAAAACAGTAAATGAGCTTATAAAAAGCAACATGTGCCCTAATGCCCAATCTGATAATACTTTTGGAAGCACTTTTAACAGCTGAACCAACATCAAATACAGAATAAGAGGAATTTTCTCTCATTTGTCGCAAAACAAAGATCAAATCTATTGGATAAGGCTATTCATGTTTTATGTGTTTTAAATTGTCATTTGGGCTTCCCTGGTGGTGCAGTGGTTGAGAATCTGCCTGCCAATGCAGGGAGCACGGGTTCGAGCCCTGGTCCTGGAAGATCCCACATGCCACGGAGCAGCTAAGCCCGTGCGCCACAACTACTGAAGCCTGCGCGCCTAGAGCCCATGCTCCGCAACGGGAGAGGCCACCGCAATGAGAAGCCTACACGCCGCAACGAAGAGTAGTCCCTGCTCGCCACAACTAGAGAAAAGCCCGTAAGCAGCAATGAAGACCCAACACGCCAAAAATAAATAAATTTATTTTTTAAAAAAAGAATGATCCTTAAAAAATAAAATAAAATAACAATAGTCATTTGAAGAATAATTTTTGAAATATTAAATATTTTTACTTTTTATCTTTAAAAATGATTTTTATTTAGAATTTATTTTGCATTAATGCTTCCCTGTTTTAATGATTTTTATTATGAAATATCTATAACAGGTAGCATGTAACTGAAATATACCATTTTGTCCAATATATTGGTTCATAAAAATAATAAAAGACACTTTTATTATTAGACTTTTTAAAACAGAAAGAAACTCTGGAACTTTTAGTATAACCCTATAATAAATAATACATTGCTTATTATGTTTACTCATATTTTAAAAACATGTTTAAAAAGTTATGAAAAATGCAAAATAAGTTATTATTTCAGGAATTCCATTTTTTTTCTTTTTGTTCCTGAATCTCAAAGATGATTTCTTTTGGGAATTTGGAAACACTACTACAATAACCAATGAATCCCTACAGCATTCTTGGTAACTGATGGATGGAAGAGAGATTTTTTCACATCTTCTTGCCATCTCAAAAATCCTGTCTGTTTCAGAATAACATAGGGCAGCTGAGAGTCTTAGGTAGCATGAGTATTAAGTCATGCTTATGTCAATCGAAAATATTTCTTACCTTTCTTTTTACATCTGTGCCACTCATCTTCTTTACCCCTTAATTCCTCCTCTTTGTTTAAATTAGAATGTTTATTTATTCAATACGTATATATTCAAGTATTTCTTGAGGACCTCCTAAATTCTAGTAAGAGTACTGGGTACTATGGATAGGAATATGAATAAAACACACTTCCGGCTCTTAAAGATCTTGAAGTCTAGAAGACAATTTTTTTTAACTGAGAAAATTTCAAATACAGAAAAGTACAAAAAAAAATATTAATCTCACTCAATATCCACAACCTCAAATGCAACAAATTTTACATTTTATTTTGTTTCCAGTCTTTTTATCTTATAAGAAATAAAACGTTGTAAAATTAACAATCCCTCCCCTAATGGAACCTTCTGTCATGAATTGGTGTGAATCATCTCAGTAGTTCATTTGTAATATTGTTCTTACATACATGTACCCATAATAAACAGAAATAGTTTATGCATGTTTTTGTTCACAAAGATGGCACTGCTCTGCACATAATCTTCAACGTTTACCTCACCATTTTGGTTCTGAGCTATATCCATTCAAGTTTATTTATTTTAGCAGTTTTATGGCAATTTATTGACTACACCATAGCATTCTATCCATTTCCCTACTAATGGACATTTAGGTTGTTTCCATCTTTTGCCATTACAGAAACATTCTGCAGTGAACATCTGTGAACCAT